ATGGGATGGTCAAGCAGAAGGAGGAACAGAGTGGAAGAGCAATGAAAGAGATATCTTGATAGAGGGAGACATTATGGGGTAACTGATGCTGGGAAATTCCCAGGAATCTACAAGGATGATTCCAGCTCAGACTTCTAGCAATAGTGGAGAGGGTCCCTGAATTGGCCTACCCCGGGAATCTGATTGGTGGATACCCTAACCTTCATCAAGGAACTGATGGAAGCAGACACAGAGATCCACAACCAAGTACTAGGCCAAGCTCCAGGAGTTCAATAGAAGAGAGAGAAGAGGGATTATATGAGGAAGGGGCATCAGGATCATTGTGAGATGAATTGCTAAATGGTCTTATTAATAAAAAAACCCAGAGTCAGATATTGAGGTGAAAATGGAGAGATCAGAGAAATAGAACAAGGCACAGCCAACCTCACTTTACCAACTCCTCAGCCTCCAGAGAGAGCTAATTCTTGTATACTCATGCTTATATACCTTTCTGTGCTCTGCCATCTTACTTCCTTTCTCTGTTCAGCTTCATCACTTCCTGTCTGTCTGTCCAGACCTCCAGACCTCTATAGTTATCTAGCATTGGGATTAAAGGCATGTGCCCCCACATCTGACTCTGTTCTCAGTGTGGCCTTGAACTCACAGAGATCCTGATGGATCTCTGCCTCCCCAATGTTAGGATTAAAGGCATGAGCTACCACTGCCTGATCTGTATGTTTAATATAGTGGCTGTTTTTTCCCTCTGATCCCCAGATAAGCTTTATTGGGATGCACAAATAAAATATCACCACAGATCATGATGGGAAAATCTACAGAGACAACTGAACCAAGCTTGTAGGAACTCTCAAACTTTAGACCAACTGTGGAATCTGCATGAGACTGTTCTAGGCCCTTTGCATACAGTAGACAGTTGTGTAGCTTGGTGTGTGTGAGGGGCCCTTGGTAGTGGGATCAGGATCCTGGTACATGAGCTGGCTTTCTGGAGCCCATTACCTATGGTGGGATTCCTTGCTTAGCCTTGATGCAGAGGGAAGTGGCTTAGTTCTGCCTTAATCAAATGTACTGGGCTTTACTGACTCCCCATAGGAGGCCTTACCCTTTTGTAGGAGGCTATGGGGGGTAGTTCAGGGGAGAGGCTGGGGGGGTAGCGGGAGGAAGGATGAGAAAGGGATCTGTGGTTGGTATGAATAAAAAGTGAATAAAATCTTTTTAAAAAAAGATTGTGTACTGCTTTATCTCTATAGGTAAGACTGAGCTTGAGAGTTGAACAACAATTGGTGGCTTATGGGGGGCACTGCTCTGGGGTAACTGGTCTCTGCCAACACTCTAGGGAACGTCAGCATTAATTTTGTTAGGAGGGAGTCTCCCTCTCTCATTCCATAATACTCTTCTCTGCTATTTTATATTCTTCTGATAAGGATCAAGTCACCAGGATG